CTTATTTTCATGTTTTGACTGGGATGGGCGAGCAGGCACACGGACCTATTGGGCTAGGCTGGGCTGGTTGGTTCTTAGGTCTGGTTTTAACTGATTTTTTTGTGGATGGGTTATTGGACCGGGTAATGGATTTAGGGGGAGGCCAAAACCCTCTTTTGAAGGATATTGGGCTTGGGCTTAAGTAGGCCAACTATTTGGCCTATCGGGTTTCGGGCCTATTTTTTTCGAGTTGGATAATAGGATTCGTGGGCAATTCGGCCCATGGACACCCCCACCCATAAATGTTACTATGAATTGACGTAATATTAACCAAATTAGTCGTAAACTCATAATATTAATTAGAACAGTCGTAAATTAACTTATAAACTTGTACATTTATCCACAATTATTAAAAACTGACCCTCAAATTTGTGGTAAATTGCCCACAATTTTGCTAAATCCCACTTCAGTGATCTTGAGATTGATCTTAGACGTTTATGATCCATCTTAAACTTACCCTTTTTCAATAAGATTTGTTGTACGTTATCAAATTTGGATGAGGAAACCACTTTTTGTGGAGACTACTATAACCTTGTGATAGATTTCAAGCTCTTAGGATAGACGTAACATTCGAATTCATCTAATTAATATTTTATTTTATTAAATTAATACCACATTCAGCTTCAATTTTATTTATTAAAATTCAATTTCATCAAATTAACATGAAATTGCCCACAAATTTTACCAAATTCATATTGAAATTCTTAAATTTAAAAATTAATTTCATCCAAATAAATACTGTATTAAAATTAACATTCAATTTCATCAAATTATAATTAAATTTTATCAATCTAAAAATAAATTCACCTTCAATTTAATTTTTTTTGTAGTTTCATAAAATCAACACCATACAAAGAGCCAATTTTATCGAATTAACATAAAAATTTAACATTCAATGTCATCCAATTAAGATACAATTCATTAAATCAACATTAAATTAATTAATAAAATTTTATCAAATCAACACCAATTTACTTTCGATTAATATTCAATTTGAGTTGATTAAATTTTTTTTTTCAGTATTAAAATTGGAGCCTATTAATTTTTTACATATTAAAATTCAAGCCGATTTTAGCTCAAATGGTACAACCTTGGACTATTAATGATTGTGGGTTACATATGTCCCAATAATATTAGTGATTGAATATTTATTGGGTGAGTTTAGATGTTAATTTGATGAATTGATTGTTAATTAGATGAGTTTGCACATAAATTAGATGAATTGAAAGTTAATTTGACGAACTGAATATAAATGGAAAAAATTGAATGTTAATTTAATAAATTTAATATTTACCATTTTAATTTGAATTTAATTTGATGAATTGAATGATAAATATGTGTTAATTTGATGAATTGACTGTTAATTGAATGAAATGAAATATTAATTGGATGAATTTAATATTAATTAGATAAATTTGAATGTTAATTTGACAATTTAAATGTTAATTGGATGAAATTGCATAGTACTTTGGTGTTGATTTGAGAAATTGAATGTTAATTGGATGAATTTGAATAATAATTGTATGAATTGAATGATAAGTTTGTGTTAATTTGATGAATTGACTGTTAATTTATTGTTAGAGTGATAATTGAATGTTAATCGATTGAAATGAAATATTAATTGAATGAATTTAATGTTAATTAGATGAAATAGAAGGTTAATTTGATAAATTAAATGTTAATTGAATGAAATTGTATGGTACTTTGGTATTGATTTAATGAATTGAATGTTCATTGAATGATTTTGTATGTTAATTTGAGAATTTAAATGTTAATTGGTTGAATTTGAATAGTAATCAGATGAATTCAATGTTAATTTGATGAAATTGAATATTAATTTGATAAATTTTAATTTTAGTTGGTTGAATTCAAAGTTAATTTGATGTTAATTTAATGAAAATGAGCGTTCACTTGATGAATGTGAAGCTGATTCTTATTGCATTAGAAACTAGACTTAGAATGCTACAAAAGTATATTTCATAGAAATTTTGCATATTAGCTTCTAACTAGCTTGTTGTTTGATAGATCTACAACATTTTTACTCCTTTTTTTTTTTCCTGATAATATGATCTAATTCTTGAAGGAACTACACATTTTACATAAAAAATCGCATGTTCATGATGAAAAAACCTAGATTTTGAGTATTGACAATTTAAATGCTTTCTTTTACTAACTCTTGCATGCTTCGATTAAAGTACTCTTGTGTTTTGAGAATTGTGAAAAATATAAATTTTGTGAGAAAGTATGAAATTATTTATTGTATAGGTGGGTGTGATGAATGTGAATGTCACTCAAATCTATATAGCAGAGTGTTTAGATATTTTTTTTTTATCTCAAGGGGTTTGAAGGTTTTCTATTACTTATAGTGAAATTGCTTATTTCCTTGCGAGATTCAAGAATTTGCGTTATTCGTTTACAATGATCGAGGTTGGGGTTAGTATATTAATTTTGGGAAGGTTCTATTAATATTGATGCATTGATATACGCACTTCTTAAAGTATCGTGGCCCTGTAGAGATTGATTGGATAGTTTGTGACTGTGTTGTGGTGTGGTGTGGTGTGGACTAGAGATGTTTGGTATGTACATTCATGCTACTCAACCTGCATACATGAGATATTACTTATGAGTTTCGGTTATGAATGATTATATTTTGCTATGAACTTTATTATTTTGTATTATAAACTTGAGATCATTATTAAATGTCATTGTTTTACTTCTAATCCATATATGTTATTTTATAACAGAGACTTACTTTTTTTCCTGATTTTTAAATTTTGTTTGGGTTTGAGAAGACGTTCCTATTAGGCTTGTTTACTTATTCCACCATATAACATTTTTTAGATCTTGGTGTTGAGGATGATAGACAGCTGGATCATGATATGGATCCAAAAGTGAATACCTAGAGATGTTTTCCTTAGTTAAATGGCTCCTTCAAAATTGAGACGAGTGTTTTGATGCATTATAATGAAATGTCATGTTCTTATTAACGTGTAATATCATCAACTAATAATAGATTCTCATGGAAATATAGTGAACCTCATGTATGTTTCTATGATGGTGTACAATTGAGAGCCTATGACCTATAATTAGACTTTTATATACCGACTATGATTTATATCACTCTTGTAACAAATATTTAATTGGGGGCCATGTTTGGGCCAAGTTTGAGAGAGTCTTTATAATCTAGTTTTGGCTGATGTCACATCATATACAAAACCTAGGAGATAAATTTGTCTACATCAATAAAGTTAGTTTTTTTTTTTTTTTTTTTTAATTTTTAAAATTCAATGAGTTTTTCCAAAAAAGCTACTACTTGTTAAGATCTTGACTGTGAAAAAAATTATTGGAAAATCACTCAATTATTTTGATATTGAAGGAGAGGCAAAACTAATATCAATGGGTATTTGGTTAAATGATACTTCTTAATTTATAAAAGTTTTGTCTTTTTGAGGTCAAGGGTTCAAGTCTTCTCCTTTCCCTCCCCCC